TTGCCTCTTCTGGAAATTTTGTATAAATGGAACCACCCAATATGTAGTCTGTTGTGCCTGGCGTCTCTCGCTTAGCATAATGTTTTCAAGATTCATCCATGTTGTAGCCTGTGTCAGTATTTCATTCCTTTTCATGGCTGAATAATAGTCCATTGTGTGGCTGCCCCACACTTTGTTTATCCATTCATTTACTGACAAACATTTGGGTTGTGTCCACGTTTTGGCTATTGTGAATAGTGCTTCTGTGAACATTTGTGCACAGTTTTTGTTTGAACACCTGTTTTCAACTCTTTTGTGTATATACCTAGCAGTGGAATTGTACAGCCAGAATGTTCCTTAGAAGCGAGGATGGTGAGACTTTATCTCATGTACTTTGGACATGTTATCAGGAGGAACCAGTCCCTGGAGAAGGACATCATGCTTGGTAAAGTAGAAGGTCAGCAAAAACGAGGAAGACCCACAATGAGATGGATTGACACAGTGGCTGCAACAATGCGCTCCAGCGTAACAACGATCATGAGGTTGGCGCAGGACCGAGCAGTGTTTCATTCTGTTGTACATGGGGTTGCTATGAGTCAGAGCTAACTCAACAGCCCCTGACAATGGTAATTCTATGTTTAACTTATTGAGGGACCCATAATTTGTTTCTTTCTCTCTCCTCCCCGCCAGATTTCTTTGGTTTTAATTTGTTATTTTGAAGGAAGTTCAAGCCTACAGAGAAATGTCAAGAATAGTGCAACAAATTTCTATATACCCTGAACCTAAATTCACCATGTGTTAACATTTTGCCACATTTGCTTTCTCTTTCTAGACGTGTGCTTACATGAGATTATAATTTTTTTTCCTGAATAATTTGAGAGTAAAATTCTTACATCACAATCCTCACTCCTACTTCAGCTTGTAGCTCGTAAGAACATGGACATTCTCTTATGCCTCTTACATCCCCACAGAACAATGATCAAAATCAGGAAATTTAACATTAAGTCAATACTATGATCTAATTCTACTACTCAAATGTTAGTTTGGTGTACTTTGGTGTCTTGTTTGTTGCTATGATGCTGGAAGTTATGCCTTCGGTATTTCAAATACCAGCAGGGTCACTTATAGTGGACAGGTTTCAGCAGAACTTCCAGACTAAGACAGACTAGGAGAAAAGGCCTGGCGATCTACTTCCGAAAATCGGGCAATGAAAACCTTATGGATCACAATAGAACACTGTCCAGCTCACTTACTTTGGACATGTCATCAGGAGAGATCAATCGTTAGAGGAGGACGTCATATTTGGTGAAGGAGAGGGCCATTGAGGGCAAGGGAGACCCCCGGTGGGTGGATGGGCATAAGAGCTGTGATGATGGACTTGAACATGCCAGCAATCGTGAGGATGATGCACGACCGGGCAGTGTTTCCTTCTCTTGTACGTAAGGTTGCCATGAATCAGAGTGGACTGGACACCAAATAACAACATTATTTAATTACAGACCATATTCAAATGTCCCCAATTGTCCCAATAATATATAGAATTTTTTTTTCAATCCGGGATCCAATGCAGGATCACATGTTGCATTCAGTTGTTGCATCTCTTTTGTAGGATGTCTCCCAGTTTGGACTTGTGTGACGTTTCCTCAGGATTAGATCCAGGTTGAGCATTTTGGGGAGAAATCAGGAGGCACATCATGTCAGTTCGTCCCATACTGGTGTTGGCAGTTTTGATCCTTGATTAAGGTGATGTCCACCAAATTTCCCCACTGTAAAGGTGCTGTAGTGGCTTGAACGATGGCTCCCCCGAAAGATACTCATGTCGCGGAAACTGTGAATGTGACCTTATTTGGAAAAAGGGTCTTTACAGATGTAATTCAGTTAAGAATCTCAAGATGAGATCATCTCGGATTTAGGGTGGGTCCTAACTCCAATGACTGGTGGCAGAAAGGCAAAGGGAGATCTGAGACACAGAGACACAGGAAGAGAAGGCCATGTGAAGATTGAAGCATAGATTGGAGTGAAGCAGCCACAAGCCAAAGAACACCTGGAGCCACCAGAAGCTGGAAGAGGCAAGGAAGGATTCTCTTCTAGAACTTCCAGAAGGAATGTGACCCTGCCCTCACCTTGATTTCAGACTTCTGGCCTCATGTGTGTCAGAGTAGAACTGTACTCTCTAGGGTTTTCAATGGCTGATTTTTCAGAAGTAGATCATCAGGCCTTTCTTCTGAGGTGCCTCTGGGTGGACTCGAACTTCTAGCCTTTCTGTTAGCAGCTGAGTGTGTTAACCATTTGCACCACCCAGGGACTCCATTGCTGCATAAAAAGCCACCCCAAAACTCAGTGGTGTAAAACAACAACTGTTTTGTTATACTCACGGAGTCTATGGGCCAGGAGTTCACACAGCACAGTGGAGGTGGTTTGTCTCTAACACACAATGTTTGGCCCTCAGCTGGGAAGATGCAAACTCAAATGGCTGAGGGCTGAAATCATCTAGAAGCTTCTTCACTCACATGTCTGGCGCCTGAGTTTAAGATCATTTGAAGGATGGGCTCAGCTAGAAACTGTTGACTGGACCCGTGGCTTCTCCATGTGGTTTGGGCTTCCTAACAGCATGGCAGCCTGAGGATGTTTGAACTTCTTAATTGGAAGCTCAGGGATCCAAGAATGAGAGTGACTTAACAAGGCAGAAGTGGCATGGTCTTTTATGACCTAGCTTGAGAAATCACATAGCTTCCTTTCCACCATACTCTCTGTTGGTTAAAGCAGTTACAAGCCTGCTCAGATTCAAGTGGAGGGGACATAGATCCCCACCTTTCAATAGGAGAAGTGTCAAAGAATTTATGTCCATGTTTTTAAAAATGCTGGCTGGTACAAACGGTTAATGCTCTCAGCTGTTAACCAAAAGGTTAGTGGTTCGAGTCCACACAGAGGTGCCTTGGAAGAAAGGCCTGGAGATCTACTTCTGAAAAGTCAGCCATAGGGTCACCAGGAGTTGGAGTTGACTCGGAAATTTTTTTTTTTCTGGTACAATGATTTCCATTTATTCTTCAGCTGGCTCATAGAATTTCAACACATAAAGCACATAAGGATATTTCTAAACTTTAGTTATAGCTATAATGTTATCTTTACTGGAATACAAATATTCCAGATGTTAACAATTTGTATGACATGTCTTTTTTGCATGAAATCTGATGGGAACTGGGGCAATCACACAAAAATTGATCACTCTTAATAATCAGGATTGCCAGAGATGACAGCAAAATAGATATTTGGGGATTTGACCTTGCAAAGGCCAATTCCCAAACTGAATCCAAATAACAGATTTTGGATAAACACTAAGGCCAGAATTGTACTTCAGTGCATCTTTTGTATGTGATCTCGCTGAATCTCAAGACTTCAGATCAGGAAGGACGTGTTGGTATTCCTATTGTGGAGAAGAGGAAGGAGCTCAGAGAGGTCAAATTACTTGTCTAAGATTGCACAGCTAGGAAGCCCAGCAGCATATCTGGGTGTATCATGAGGGCTGGGCAGGAAACAAATGGCAATTCAAATGGCGTCATTAAGGAGTGTTTAATTAACTATTAAAGAAGATGTTGCCTGTGGGCAGCAAGTGGGGAAACCAAGAGAGAAAGATGAGACATCTTCATAAACTACTACCTCCCAACAGATGGATCCCGATCAAAAAGAGAGAAAAGCGTGGAACGTAACTCCAAACTTCTAGGGAAACCAGATTTACTGGATCCATTCAGACTGGGGGAACCCCCCAAAGTAACGCCTGGAAATAATCTTTTAACCCTTGAACCGAAATTATCCCATGAAGCCACTGTTAAACTAAACGATAGTTTAGCCCAATTAATAAAAAAATGTTTTGCCTTGAGCAGAGCACTCTTATAAAGAATTATCTATATGAACTTAATCTGACAACAGTTAATCCAAGTCATAGAGAGAACTTGAAGGGGCAGAGAGCCTAAGTTAACGGGGATGAAACAATATGGGTAGAGATAGTGAGAATGGCGACACAAGAGGTACTACCTCCAGGCCTGAACGGGTGGGGCAGTGGAGCAAGAAGTGTCTGGAAGTTTCTGGAACCCGGGAGCTGCGGGAGTACCAGAAGGCTGCTGACAGGAGCTATGGTTTTTGTTAGCGGAATCCAGGGGGTTAATACCCCAGCCTCTCTCATATCTCGATTGCTGATCTCTGGTGTCTCCCAGGAGTCCTGTTGGCTGAAGCCAATAAGAAAGCAGAGGACAGGAAAGTTAGTGGTGCATCCATAGAGGTCAGCTCCCACCTCATCTTCCCTGGAGGCCAGAGCAGGGGAAAGAAGGGAGGAGAATGCGCCTGGAGAGACCAGTGAGGGCTGAACAGTAGTACTTCCACCGCCCCCCACCCCCTATTTCAGGCGCTACTGCAGAGGCCACGCCCCGGCCACTATCGGGCCCTAGTACCCAACCGCCGGTTGCCATGGAGACCGCGGGGGGAGGGCGTGCGGCGGCGCGGGAGCAAGCTCGTAAGAGTAAGTGCGCAGGCGCAAAGCTGCAAGGCCGCCTGGCTCCTGACGAGCGGCGGGGTCGAGGCGGGGCGGACGCCGGCCTCCCTGTGCCTTCTGCCTGGACCTGCAGCGCCGGAGTGGTGGCGGCCAGCACCTGTGGAGAGGCTGCACCCCAGTGGCCTCCCCTCGCCCTGGCTGCGCAGCCGGAGGCGGAGCTGCCAAATCCCTGCTGGGACGGTGGAGACCAGGCCTAGGGGCGCGGCCGACACCGCTTCCCCACAGGTTCGCCGACACGTGTAAGCACCCTGGAGCCTCCTGGGCCGGCTTGGGGTGGGTCCTGGGAGAGGGCGCGGCCTCCTGCAGGCCACCCGCGGAGTGGGGGAGCCAAGAGCTCCAAGCTTGGCCTTGTTCACGGGAATCTGACCTCCCTACCCTGTGACTTTACAGGATAAATATTTGGGGACTGCTGCAGTCCACGCTCACCTCCTAGACTCATTACTCCACGGGGGATTAGAGCCGCCAGGTGCTCACGACCATGGCAGCAATGCACCTTCTGGAAGACTGGTGCCGGGGGATGGATGTGGACATCCACAGAGCCCTGCTAGTCACAGGCATCCCAGAGGACTGTGGCCAAGCAGAAATTGAGGAAACCTTGAGTGGGGTCTTCACCCTTCTGGGCCCATACCATGTGCTCAACAAGATGTTTTTCAGGGAGGAGAATGCTAAAGCCGTCCTGATTGAGGTGGGCGAGGGCATGAATCTGAGCACCATACCCCGGGAATTCCCGGGAAGGGGGGGTGTCTGGAGAGTGGTCTGTAGAGACGCCACCCAGGATGCCGAGTTTTTAAAAAATCTGCACGAATTCCTGGAGAGCGAGGGGCGCACCGTGGAAGATGTGATCCGCCTGCTTCAGCTCGACCGCCCACCACAGCGCCAGAGCCGGAATCTGACCCCGCAGAACTGGGCAGAAGCTTTCGGGGTCCTCCTGGCATCGGTGATGCAAATCGTCTTCTACATGGATGCAGAGATGCGCTACCGGGAAGAAGCAAGGGCTCAAGAGTTGGCGGAGGCCAAGATGATAGCAGCCTGGTCTTCCGAAGCAGAAGGGAGGGTCAAGAAGGAGCCGGGGCCTGCTAGAGGAGTAGGCCGTGCCTTGAAGATGGAGAACCCCAACAGCTGGTGTGACATGGAAGATGAGGCTCCCAAGCCCTTATTTCGCAAGGCTAGGGCTAAGAACCCCTCCAGGAGAAAGAAGCAGAACAGAGCCCCGAAGCAGGAACCAATGTTCCGGAAAAAAACCAGAAGCGATCTTTCCAACAGCTCGGCCGACTTGGAAGATTCCCAGGCGGATGACACCGAAAGGATGGAGACCTCAGAATGTGTCTGTAGCAGCAGAAAGCCCCCCGTGAAGCAGGAGGAGTCGTCTCTGAAGAAGCTGGGGGCGAAATGTGCTCGAAAGGTCCACAGAGACCCACCTCAGGATGGCCCATCGGAAGCTGAGAGCCCCGGAGGCGCCTCGGAGTCAGACCAAGATGGCGGCCAGGAGGTCCCACCAAAGAAGAAGGCCATGGGCTGGGTTTCAACAAAGAGGCTTGCCCCCATTAGGAAGAAGAAGAAGGTGAGCTTGGGCCCTGTCTCCTATGTCCTCGTGGATTCAGAAGAAGCCAGGAAGAAGTCGGTGATTCCAAAGAAAGGCCCAGGCTGGAGAAAGGATGCCTCAGTTCTGAAGGCCCCTCGAGGCCCAAAGTCGGTTGAGACGCCAGCCTCAGCATCACAGCATCCGAAGGCCAAGCCAGAAGGCTCCCCTTACACCTCCAAAGGCAAGAGTGACTGCAGGAGTCATTCAGAGTGTGTCAAAAAGTGGATGATGTGGGAGGAGCAGGAGTGGGAAGTGGAGGAAGAGGTGCCCAGTGGGGCAGTGGGTCAACTGGGCATCGAGGATGGCCCCAGTGCATCAGAGGAGGAGGCTGACACAGCAGTCAAGGTTCTAGAAGGTGAGAACTCTGATTCTGAGTTCCCTAGGAGCCTCTGAAGGCCGACATTGGGTACTCCAGGGTGGGGGATGGGCGCAGGAGGGGCAAAGCAAACCCACCAACCGATCTTTTATGGATAATCGTCACTGGGGTGTTCTCAAGCCAGTCTGACCCATCTCCCTTGATAAGAATTTAATGGTTTGTTGGAGTTTGTGAATTTAAGAGGAGTCCCTGAGTGGCACAAACGGTTAAGTGTTCTGTTACTAACCAGAAGGTTGGCAGTTCAACTCTACCCAGAGGCACCTCAGAAGAAAGGCCTGGTGATGTGTACTTCTGAAAGATCACAACCTTGAAAACCCTGTGGAGCACGGTTCTGCTCTGACACACATGGGGTCGCCATGAGTTGGAATCAACTCAGTGGCAACTGATTTGTGTTTTTATTTTTTGTTTTCTAAAGGCCTGGTTGGGGAATCAAATGTTCAAGTACTCAGAAGATCCTAGGAAGTAAAAAATTCCCAAATGATACCTCTTCCTGTTTCCCCCCCTGAGCTGTCTTGATTTCTATCCAGAATCCAGAAAGTTTTGATTTGGGGGACCACTCATACCTGAAGAATTTAAAGAAGGCTGAGGAAGAGGTTCCAAGGCGGGAACAAAGATTTCTGTTGTCATTTTATGGGACGAGACTTTGGACTCCATTCAGGGACCCTGTTTGTAGAGGTGTGACTGTCAGGTGAATGATGTCTGAGATTTTAGGTGGGAAGAGTTGGGGGAATGGAGGCTTATCTCTGCCATTTTTTCTGTCAGGCCTGCTTCGGTATCTCCTCAACTCACCTTCAGAGGTGAGGGAGTTCTAAGCAGATGGTGCAAGTTCTAGAATGCTCACCGGTACTCATGGACAGGGTCACCGTTGTGTTCACTTAAGCTCAGCCTTTCTCCCTAACTCCTGCCTTCTATTTGTGTGGTCAGCAGGCCTGTGCAGGGCCTGGGGTTTGGCTCTGTTCCCCATTTCTACCTTTGTGCTGTGACTAGCCGGTAAATTAAGCCAGAACCTTTATATGCTGACCTGGCTTCCTTGCTCCTCCCATTTTTCATCTTCCAGCCTCTAGGTATCTAACTGGAGGGTGGGAAGATCCAAGAGTTAGTTTTGAGGAAAAAGAATGTCCACTTAGACCTTGAGGTGTTGAGTTTTAGGATTAACTAATAACAGTGACACCCTGGTTCCCGTTTGGGTGAAGCTCTTTCCGGAAGCCTCTGGGGAAGGGGTGATTGGGAGGGAAGAACTCGGGCGTTCCTATGTTTCTGCACCTCTATCCAGTGCCACCAAACTCTTGGTCTTTGTCACACTGTAGCAAGAGGGAAAACATTCCTAAAAAAATTGGTTGGTAATTTCTGCTTTCTCAATAGACATTAAATCAGACTAGCATTCCATGTCATACGTGTGTGTGGTGGGGTACAGGTAACCCCAGATCAGTGGTTTACACACTGTGCCTGGAGAACCCCAAGGGTTCCACAGAGATTTAATCCAACTTTTTTTTTTTAAAAAATATTCTTCAAAAGCAGTGTAAAATGACTACTCGAATACGGCACAAACCAAATTGTATCACACTGGAGACTACCAAAATATTATGTCATGCTTGTAGGTTAGCTTGTTCTTGTACAAGTCTTGAGTTGGTTGTTTCTGCCATCTCTTTGCATATAAGTGAATGTCCTGTCAATGTGACTTTGACACGGAGGGTAGAAGGAGGAGAAATTCAGTCTCCTCCACAGCCTGTAATGTAGCTCTGTGAAAGCAAGTTTACCTGTGTAATTCACACACTCTTGTTATGCTGTGAGTTTCTGTTGTGTATTGATAAATAATACTCGATCAATAGTTTCAGCCTTTGTAAGCTGTGGAGGGAGGGGGCGGTCTCTGTTCTGACCTTAGTTTTTGTGATAAAGAATATGAACAGTTGTTAGATCTTGTTAGGGATTCAACTTTGAAACAAATTTCTTGTGACTCCTTTCAAAATCCTGGGTGAGTTTAACTGAAAATGCAGACAAAAGAAAACAGTTTCCACTTGCAGCTACTAGTCGGTGTGTGTCAAGTTTCTCCTTGGGCACTTGAAGCAAATTAGACTGTCAAGGTGAAGAAAGCCTGAAGCTGACCAGCTCCTGATTACAAAACTGGGTCCATTAGGGCTTCATTGTATTAACTGATTGCACCAGGATCAGTCAATGTGAATATTTATGTTTAAAATAAAGTTGAGCAAATTAAATATCTGTTTAGTCTCTTTTGGGGGGGAGGTCCCTGGGAGGCACAAACGGTTAAGCACTTGGCTACTAACCAAAAGGTTGGGGGGTTAGTCCACAGAGAGGTGCCTCAGAAGAAAGGCCAGATGATCTACTTTGGAAAAATCAGCCGTTTGAAAACTCTGTGGAGCACAGATTACTCTGACACAGATGGAGTTGCTGTGAATTAGAATTGACTTCATGGCAACTGGCTACTCCATTGGTTAGTCTCTTTTATAGGATGAGAATGCACGGACTATTCAATTTGAGAAAAGGGTACCTCTGTTAAACAGTACACACAGTCCCGTCTGCCCATGCAGCCTGGAGTGGTTGTCAGACGTGGGTGTGAGCTGGGAGAATTGTCAACCTTCCATGAGAAGAAACCATTGAGACTGCAGTCTTTGTTGTGACCTTCCTCCAATGTGAAAGGTTCTTCCACAGGCCTTGGGGGCTTCTCCCACCTTCCAGAGGTTTCTAGAACAGGAAAGTGATGATGTAAATGACCTGAAAGTGCTAATTTATTTTCAAAAGGAACTAAAAGATGAAAACCACTCCCTCCCCCGTCCCTAGACAGCAACTGAGATCTTATTGGCTAAACATTTTTTCTCCTACCTGAGTGCCTCCCTAGCTGGGGACTCCTGAACTAGGGTGGCCACTTCATCAGAATCACCAGGGATCTTTGTTAAAAACTTCCTTTCCTGGCCTCTGCTGCTGAATCAGTGTCTTGGGCGCTCATGGTTGCATTTACATCTCAAACAGTTGCTCCAGAGAATTCTAATTCACACAGGGGTTGGAGAGTTCTAGTTGGAATAATTCAGACTTAGGGGTAAGGGCAGGACGCCTAGGGGTCACGGTTGGGGTTTTGTGAAAGGTGGTTGGAAATTCTCAGAAGATGCACAAGACACCAAAATGGAAGCTGGGATTTGAGGACGGGAGCTACCGAGGAGCTGGAGTACACTCACATAAGGGTCGGGTGAAAGGTTTATTTAGTATGTCCTTCCTCCACCCCACCGCTGTCCCCCCACTCTTGCCCCTCTTCCCCCTGCTTCCCCAACAACATCTCTCTTCCCCCATTTGCCCTTTCCCCCACTCCTCCTACCCAATCTCTTTTTCTCCACCCCTACTCATTCCCCCACCCTGGCCCCTTTACCCCCTCCTCTTCTACTCCCATCCCTCAGCCCCCAACTTACTCCTCTCCGCCTTTTGCCCCTTTTGCCCCTCTGCCATCACTCCTCTTCCCCACCACCTCCAACCCTCTTCCCCCTCCACCCTCACAATGGGAAAAGCCATATTTGGCCAATATCTTTATAAGACCTCCCACAAAGTAGTCCTCCCTAGTTACACCCGGTCCATCAGGGGAGTCTGAAGTGCTCATAAGGCCTGCTGTTGGGAAATACTGGGAGGGGCAGTGTGGGGTACAGGGGATGCTGGCTCTCTGTAAGGAAATCCCTCAGATGACCTCTTAGAGGGGCCAGCATTCTGTTCGGGTTGTGCTCGGAGCGAGGCCCAGACAGGCTCCTCCAGGGAGATGGGAGAGTGCTGAGGAGAGCTGTGGACACCACCAGGAGGGCCTGAAGGTGAAGCTTCCTTGTTCCATTATGCTTGTCCATGCTTTCATTCAGCCAAGAATTATTGAGCATCTGGCACAAACGGTATCAACTCAGCTATTAACTGAAAAATTGGTGGTTCAAAACCACCCAGTTGTGCCACAGAAGAAAGGTCTGGTGATCTGCTTCTGTAAAGGTTACCGTTTGCTGTTGAGTCAGTTCTGACTCATAAGTGACCCCATGTGTTACAGAGTAGAACTGCTCCATAGTATTTCCTTGACTGTAATCTTTATGGAAGTAGATCACCAGGCTTTTCTTCTGAGGTGCCACTGGGTGGGTTCAAACTGCCAGCCAGGAGAACCCTATGGAGCAGTTCTACTCTGTAACACTTGAGGTCACCATGAATCGGAATCTACTGGATGACAATGGGTTTACTGTGTGCCAGATACTGTGTGAGGTGTTGAGGATATAGCCAGGACCAAGAGGTAGATTCCTGCCCTGGTAAAGCTGACGTTCTGATGGGGAGATAGACCATACATGGAAAAATAATATATAGGGGTGTGAGAACTGTGGTGAAAAATTGACAGGAAAGTGTCAGGGTGAGAGAGAGTGTGTGTATGTGTGTCTGAAATAGAGAGAGTGTGTGTGTGTTTGAGAGAGAGAGAGAGAGAGATGGCTATTTTATATAGTGGTCAGGGAGGACCTTTCTGAGGAGATGGTATTTGAACAGACACCTGAAGGGAGTTAGGGAGGGAGACGAGAAGCTGACCATGGAAGAACAACCCAAGCAGTGGGAACAGCCAGCCTGAAGGGAAGCCGGAGGTGCCTGGTCTGTTTGAAATAAGTCGAGGAGACTGATGTGGCTGGGGCATGAGGAGTGAGGAGGAAGTAAGGAGGTGAGGTCAGAGGTTTCAGGGGCTGATGGTGCAGGGCCATGTGGGCCCCAGTGAGGACAAACTTGAGCTTTGATCTTAGTGAGACAGGAGGGTTCTGAGCCGAGGGTCCTGATCTGACTTAGCCATTAACAGGCTCCCTCTGGCTGCTGGTGGGGAGCAGACTGGGGTGGGTGGGGTGGGAAGGAGGGTAGGGGAGCCCGGAGCCCAGGGAGGAGGTGTGTTAGTTTGCTAGAGCTGCCATTACAAAGTACCACAAACTGGCTGACTTCAAACCACAGCAATTTATTGTCTCAGTTCTGGAGGCCGCAAGTCCAGAATCAAGGTGTGGGCAGGGCCACGCTCCCTCTG